AGAGACAATATTTTAATTCGAGAATACGAAAACTAAAAACTTTTAAACCAAGTATAACACGACATTCAAATTTAAATAATCTGCAAAAAAAAAATCGCAGCTCTCTTTATTTATTTAGTTCAAATTATTTGAGCAAATTCTAACTCCAATTGGGATTAAATATTAAACATTATTTCCAGAGGTCGTTGGTTCTTTGTAATCTTTTAATTGCAGTTATTCTATTGAAAATGTAAGTAGGACCTAGAAAAATACTTAAAGTCATACTGCAGTGTTATACGGGAGCCGTGCAAAATCTGTACCTATATTTAAAATATTAAAGAGGAATATATTATTATTTAGATTTATTTATTTATCGCACTCAGCATCCACTCAGCGCCCAAGAATGGTTAGGAAATGGAGTTCATCGCTTCATTTCCGGCGCATAATGGCCACCAAAATCTCCGGATAACAATCCGTTGGACTATTGTGTCTGGAGATTGGCACTAAAAAATACCAAAGTGTCGATCGCCTCAAGCAAGCGCTTCGTCGGAAAGAACCAAAATACCGCAGATCAACATTCGGGCAGCGTGTGGCGATTTCATTGGCCGTTTGAAGGCCATAATTCAAGCCAAAGGTGACAATTCGAACAAATCTAAACTTATTGTAAGATTTGAAATTTGTTGCTTTCGTTCAATAAAAAAATGTAAAAATTATGGCGTTTGACTTTGTTGCAGTTTTTTTTTCTCACCCTGTATAGCTATATCTGAACCAATTTTTACGAAAATCTATACCATTTAAGCTGATACTACACTTTTAGAGAAAACTTAACGTGAAATCCGATGAAGATATACGTCGGAGCCATATCTAGATTTTGGCAGAGGTATTTCTGGGGTATTTCTGAGTTGTTTCTGTACATATTTTACAAAATCAGAAAAATATGCATATAGCAGCTGTAGCTTTATCTGGATGGATATTCACCAAATTTTCATCTCGAAGGCGCAATGGTGAGCAAATTTTCATCTCGATGGCGCAATAAATGCTATCTGTTATTTCTTTACAAAAATACATGGACAAACAGACGTACGGACGGACAAACATATATCAGAATGTGATTCTATGAGGATCCTTAAAAGTAACTATGGGTCTACCTCATTTCCTTCTCCATGTTACAAACAAATGCACAAAGAAATAATGCCTTGATCATTTTTTTTTAGAAAACTTGTACTCTTTGAACACTCTCGTTTCACTCTCAAGCATATCTGAGCTTTGGCTTCAATGCTTATCATTTGTAATGTTCTTCTGCCTAGGAAATAATCAGAGCGGCTGAGAAAATCGATATCGCCCACGGAGAAGCATTCAAACTTGGCCTTTTATCATTTCTGGCTTAAATCGTTGAAACCCCAAATATCCGAAAGAAATGGTTATATGGACGCTGTACGAAAACATGGTCAGTCCCAATCAACCTGGGCAGAATTCAAATTATTATGGCGAATTTCAAAGGCGGTATCGTGATTTCAACAGACAGACGAACTTAAATTTAATGCTTGTGTTACAAACCGAATTCTAATTTAATGAAATTAAAAAAGGAAAACAAATTAAATTTAATTTCGACGGTGAAGGGCATAAAGAGCACAGCAATCGACCTCGTGTATGCAGAATCGACCTCATATGTCCAAATTACACTCCTGGAAATGTTGTGTAGAGGAAATATTCCTTCTGGAAATCAAAAAACATGAACTATCAAACTCTCAGCGAGGATTAGATTTTTAGAAAACTAAGAGTTAATCTTAAAATTTAATTTTGGACTAATAAAATAATTGGCATAGATTTTTTTTCTTTCAAACATCGTTTTTACTAGTTAATTATATTGATGTGGATTTGTGTGGGAATATGTATGCAGTATTGTGTGCGTATGTCCAATAAATCCTTTGATTGTGTGTGAGTGACACGCATACCACATGTGTTTTCTTTATATCCTTTATGGACCTAATATTCTTTCAAGTGCATGACATTTATGATTGGAGGGGTTTTCTATGTAGATGTGTGTGAGTGTGTCTGTGTAAAATCTATACTGACAAATCAATTCATGTCAATTTACAAATAATTCTATGTATTTTTGTATTTATAAGTAGTTGTGTATTCATATATATAGTCTATAGAACTAGTTTTGCTGTGCTTTCATTTTTTCTATTTTTTTTATAAATTTTCTCCATCTTCTCCATTTCAATAGTTTTCAACATTAATGGTATTTGCAGCATATTTTCTTGTGTTAGATTTTTATGTTTTATTTATATAATTTGTTTTTTTGTTTTTTTTTTTTTTTGTATATTTTATTTACAACTCACATTTATGTCAAATTCTTAATTTAGCATATTTTGTTCTGCTTTTTTCTTTCTTTATTCTTTCATCCTTTTTGGCAATAATATAATATTTAATATAAATTTATAATTTCAATTTTGTTTTATTTTTGGTTGTGAGGATTTACTGTGCCTGCAAAAGTAAAGGATAAACCTTAAAAAATAATATGGGTGTTAGTAAAAATTGAAAAAGAGTATCGAAAAAAGGACATATGAAATAGAACATTGTATAAGAGGAAACATATTTGGCCTTTTTTATAAAAAACAACTATTTGAAAAATATTTGCTGGGGTGCTCGTGAATAGAGCAATATGCAATAAGAGAAAAAAAAAACTACACTACTTGCTAAGGAAATATTTAAATGATATGTTGAAAAAAATTGGAAAATATTTAAAAAAACATATACATAATGTAAACAAGAAGGATATAAAAACAAAAATCAAAAATATATAAACATGCATTAAAATTTAGTTATTTAAACATGCATTATTATTTTTCATTTAATTATTCATTCAATTCTTACACCTGAGTATAAATTTACCTTTGTTTCTGTATTAAAACACATGACACACAGTGCATCGTTTAGCTCCCCAAAATATAAAACCCAAATTGAATACATTTTCCGAAAGAAAGTAGAAAACTATTCCGCAAATCTTTTTCAGGTTGATTTACACTTTACTCCTTACAAAACATGGCTCTATGGGACTATACAAAAACGTGGATATATACAATGTTTCGCCACCAGAGCTAGAACCCATTACAACCTACAAATACCAATTTTTAGACAAATCCGTGGTAAAAATGTGGCAAAAATCATCAAAATAACGGATATTAGGAGTTAACGTTATATGGGGGGCTATGCAAAAACGTGGCTATACAAATTTTCGCCACCGGAGCTAGAACCCATTGTGACCTACAAATACCAATTTTTAGACAAATCCGTGAAAAGAATGTGGCAAAAATCATCATAATGCCTAATATTGGGAGGTTACATGGCGGATATTCGCAATGTGGACCAATATATCTCATTTTCAATACAATCCTAGACACAAATTGTTCTGCTTAATTTTGAAAGTCTACGTCGTGATTTCAACAGACATACAGACGGATAGGCAGACGGACATCGTTCAATCGATATAGAATTTTCTACTGGTTATGATACTTTATGGGGTCTACGACGAATATTTAGGGATGTCACAAACGGAATGACAAAACTAATATAAAAATTGGAGTGGAAGCCGAATACTCATCTCATTTATGAACGAATTTTACGCCCTCTCTAAAATGTGGCAAAACTGAACAATGGAGTTTGCTCGTTTTGTTTTTCAACTTTTGTTTTGCTCCAACTCGAATTTGAGCAAATTTCACTCTTTACACTCTTTAGAACAAATTATGAACGATCAGTTAGAGCTATAACTTTGAAGCACCACGGAAAATTCTAAAGGTTACAAAATTATTTTTCATTGTAATTGAACGATTTATGGGAGACGGAATAATGCAAATTAGCCTAGGCAAACCTTCAATATATAAAGGGGATTTTCGGAACCTCACGCTTTCATTGTACGAAAATTAATGCTATTGATAGATCAATAAAAGTATTAAGATGGTAGAATTCTTAAAGGTCGTATGTTGAATTATTTGGTGTGGTCCAAATTTATATTTTGATATTGATAAGTTTGAAAAAATCCAAAGAGTTCGAAATACAAAACGAACAAAAAAAATAATTTAGAATTCCTCTGGGTGTGTGTGGAATTTCTGATCTTCATTTTTAATGAAAACGTATAAGACGACAAGAGATATTTAAGTAGTTCAAAACTGCAATGAAATAATATCGTTGGTATTTATCTTCCTATTGAAATGACATCTCTGTGATCTATCCTAGCCCATTTTTATGTATACACAATTTGTCAGTATAATGCTTAAGTGTACCATACATTGCGCATTGCGTATTTACTTATGAGTTATATGAATGATATATGAAATATGACTTTCTTTGTACCTGCTTGAATTAAAAACTTGTACAGGTTTTAAAAACAATTCTTATTTTTATGTTATTTAATTATTTTCATATTAACCGAAACCTCTGGAAAATCCAGCACGTCATGAAAATTAGGACAGATATCGAAAACTGGACAGAGCACATCGGGAAAAATTTTCAAAATTTCGTATAGAACACTTGAGAATGATGCCGATGATTTCCCAACAACGCTAAATTTAAAATTTATAAAATTATTCAAAATAACTAAAATAATCCAAAATGTCTTCTTTTTAGATCACAGTTTTCTTTGATACTTCTCCCTGACCCCAATTCCCTTTGAATTTCTCATCTCTTTTTAATTAGTACCAAATTTGCCGAACACTTAAACAATAAAAAAAAATACAAATTAAAGCTTAACAAAAAGGAAAGAGAAAAAAGGACGTAATTTAAAACTCAATAACTACTGCGAGCATAAAACATGCACAAAAGCAAAAGAAAAGCTTGGTACAAGAAAAAAATTACGAAAGGAGTAACAAAATAAAACGTAAACAAACAAAACTACTTATTATGTACATATTGCCTATGTAAAGTGCAATAATATTTATTTATGTCAAAAGCTTTCATGTTGCCTTTCACTTTGTTCTTGTTTGTAAAATGTTGTTGTTTTTTATGGTTTGGTTACCTACCTGGGGGCTAACTTGGAATTGCTGAATGGGGTAGGCTACGACACCAGCTGCCTGAGGTATGGCAGCACCGGCAACACCCGCCGTCGCCAACTGTTGAGCAGGAGATATTTGGGCTTGTGTAGCAACGCCTTGCCAAGTTGTGGGTATTTGGACGCCCATACTGGAACGAAAGAAATGCGAACAAGAAGAAAAAAAGAAATATGGCGTTAGTTGGTTACTCTATAAAGGAATATTTCAGCGTCGTCCTTGGTGTGACAAAAAATAAAAAAAATGTTCATAACAAAAATAAAACTAATTTGTTTAATAGATACTTAATCTACATTAGAACACGGCTACACATATGCAACTATAATTATTGTTCAAAAGTATGTGGATGTGTGTGTGTGAGTGTATCTCCTTCACAATCTTATGGATGGAATGAAGGAAAAAGTTAAGTTTAACAAGTGGGCGTTAAAAATTTCATTTTCACATATATACACACACTTTTATAACAAGATATAAGTCGTCATTTAGAAAATTAAAAACAAAAAAAAAATGTAGTACTGATGACATTCTACACGAATAAATATTCACACATATGTAGGTATGGGAGTGTGTGAGTGTGTGAATATGAATTTAGTATAGTGTAAACATTTAATGAACATGACTGCCAGCCAGCCAGCCAGGCTGACTGCCTTCCTGCCTGACAATTAGTAAATGAATTCAGACATTCGTCATTTTATCATTCATTACACCCAAAGGCATTTCAATCATTAAAATATGTAAGAGTTTATATTTATATGTGTCTTGGTATAATTTATATAATATATATACACATATTAAAATAAGTTGAAGTTTTGGTGTAAGGACACCCATATTAACGATGAAGGATATGGAATTTCGGACAAATAATTTGTAATTACATTACATGTATTATGGTATATAGTTATTTTAAGGTAACAGGTGCTTTCGGGCAGAAGTTTCTTAGGAAATACCCACGGACAAGGTGTTCTCAAATGAGAAATCCTTACACAAAGTCACACCGATTTTACTAATACAGGGTGAGACGAAAAAAAAAACTGCAAACAAATTCAGACTGCGGTCATTTCTATGACACTTGTCCGACAGCTGTCAAAATTATTCCAGTGACAGCTCATTATAATGTTTATAAGCGTACAAAAGCATTTTGTTGAGAATTTTCCAGAAAAAAGAGAGCACTTCAGCATTTCAATGTAAATAAATCTTTTGTGTCTCGTACCATCGCTCTTTACCGTGATACTGGTAGCGTAGCCCGACGTCAAGGAACTGGACGGATGAAAACAGCAATATCAGCAGAAACGGTTCGAAGAGTAAAGAAGTGACTTGATCAAAACCCGCGCCGCAGTGGCCGAAAAATGGCTCGTGGCTCGTGAGCTGAACATATCGCAGTAATCCATTCGGCAAATATTGAAAAATGAGCTCGGGGTAAAGCCATTGAGATTCCAAAAAGTGCAAGAACTTACACCGCAACGGAAAGAAAATAGACTTAAAAGAGCTAAAGAGTTGCTTCGCTTGGCCAAAAGTGGTGAACTGCCGAATTGGGTCTTCTCCAATGAGAAAACATACGTTGTCAGCCACCAGAACTCAAGCACCGGCCATGGTGATGGTGTGGGCCGCCATAACAGCCGATGGTCGCTCTTCGCTCGTATTAATCGACTTTGGCATCATTTATTCTAATGGCATCATTTATTCTGATTGTCGCGAAAATATTCTGGAGGGTGTATCAAAGCCTTGGGCACGTAGAACTTCGTAAGTCCAACAGGACTCAGCACCCTCCCATCAGCACGCCCCATCCAAGAATGGTTACAAAATGGGGTTCTTCGCTTTATTTCCAGTGCACAATGGCCACCGAAATCTACGGATACCAATCAGTTGGACTATTGTGGCAGGAGTATTTTGGAAAGCAGGGTTGGCACTAAAAAATACCAAAGTGTCGATCACCTCAAACAAGCGCTTAGTCGGTAATGAGCCAAAATACCGCAGAGCAACATTCGGGCAGTGTGTGACTGTTTCATTGGCGTTTGACGGCCATAATTCGTGCCAAAGGTGAGCAATTCGAACAAATCTATTTCCGACATTTTTAAATTAAAAAAATTAAAGATTATGGCATTTGATTTTCTTGCAGTTTTTTTTTATCTCACCCTGTATAGCTCATTTTCAATACCTGTAGACCAAACACATATCTTAGTAAAATTTTATCAATCTATTTAATTTCATTCGGAAGCTAGAGTTATTTCCACAGACGGACGGACGGAAGGACATCGCTAAATCGCCATAGAATTTTATGTTAATTTAGAATATGTATACTTTGTATAATATAATAAAAATTTAAATATATAATAAAAATTTAAATACGTCATGTTTAGATTTTTGCTTAGGAAAATTGACACTCCTTCTAATCTCACTACACAATACGTCAACATTTTGTAAAATAATAACTCTCTTAAAATGCAATAACCGATGTTTTCTTATCCATATTAAAAAAAAATAGATTATCAAAATTCTGGTACCCGATTATTGAGGATCGAATACCCAATAAAGTAAAATCTTGGTATATTTTAATATTTGCATCTGTCTAAAGTTAGAGCAAACATGGCAAATATTGACCCACTTCTTCTAGCATCAAGAAGTCCAATGTTTATGGCACATCCCCAAAATAGAATATGCATTTATAAAATAAGGCCCGATACAATGGACATAATTCTAGAACGCAGAAAATTTAATAAACGTAGCGATATTACAAGTAATATGTAATATCGTTGTCCTAATTTTAGGCCTCCTGGTGGAGCAGTTGTCCTGGCCCCTGGTGGTCAAGAATGTCATATATGACTACCAAAAAATTTTGCTGTCGCGGTTTACAGTCGGTCAGTTATTAAAGTCAATTTCCCTCAAAGAGCATCTTGCTTCCCGGATATACAACAAGGAATTGTATACCTACAGTTTTTAATATTTTCCTAGCGAACCTCGTACATTTACATTCACGCCCATGTAAGTGTTTAAAGTGTGTAACCTCAATTTGTGTTTAAATTGTGTTTACATTAACAACACTCAACAAATACATATATATCCCTACAAACACACCATACATTTGTACATACAAATTTGTCATATAATATGCACACACATACATACATCTGCAATTTACATACACATCAATTCTTTGGTATGTATGTAGTTTTTGTGTAAACACTTTGAACCTGCTGTCATTTACTGAATATATGTATATAGTCCCGTTGTCATTGATGTTTTCAAAAGTGACATTTTCAGTTAAAGGATTATTTTCAATATTTGTTTTAAGCATTATGTTTACTTTGTTATAATCAATTATTCGTAAAATTTTAAATTGTTTTTGATGTCCAGCCGAGGATTCGTTTTAATTGTATTGGTTGTTGGACAACACTGAGAGACTATGCAACAAAATTGTGCTATTGAATTAATGAGTTTGAAAAAATAAAACAAAAAATAGCCGGTGTTGAAAACAATGTGTTTTGAAAGCAAAAGGGCAAGTGTTTTATATATTTCAAGAATTTTTTAAAATTATTATAATATGTAATTTGTTATATTTTAGGTATGTTTATGTTTAGTTCCTTAACTTACCCCATATAGCCTTGCTGATAACCACCATACTGCCCAAAGTGATAGCCTTGAATACCTTGCAGAAATTGATTTTGTACCGCAGCTGAGGCAGCAGGTGTTACAGCAGCTGTGGCCGACGAAGCAGGATACGTGGGAGTTGGTGAATACCAGCAGCCGGTGGCGGCCAACTGTTGTCCATAGGCAGCAGCGGCGGCAGCTGCAGCTCCAACGCCATAGGGAAATCCGGCCGCAGCTGGATTCAGAGCCTGACTGGCCAATGATTGGGCATTATTGGGATCACCGCTCTCCTTACCCCAAGAACATTTCACAGGTTGGGCATTGATCTCGGTATTATGAACGCCAACAATTGCATGGGTGGCAGCCTCTTTTGTAGAGAATCTAAAAAAATAAAAAAAAGTAAATTAGATTTGCTCACATACATTTCGAGATAGAAGGCAATTTCCAATACATACCTTACAAATGCATAACCCTTATCCTTGAATACGCGTATCTCTTGTATTGAACCGTAGGGAGAAAATGTTTTCTGCAATATTTCTTCGCTCAAGGAGGTGAGAGAACTATTGACACCACCAACATAGACGGTACAGTTTGAGGGGCTACTTTGATTGTAAACTTCATCGAATGTCAGGGGTTTTACATTTTCTGAAATGAGAAGAAAAAGAACGAAAAAATTAATATTCAATTGATAGAGCAAAAAATAATTATTTTAACAATGAGGTTTGATTATAATATTTGGTTAGCAAATAAATTTGGCAAACAAGGCTGCCATATTGTTTGGATATTAAATACGAATACTAATACTTTGTAACAAAGTTTCATTCATTCGAAGACCTAATGATATACCATGAAAGTGGAGGATTATGCCAACTGCTCATCGTAAAATCTAGTCACTATGACAGAATTACCATAGACTAGGCAATACATGAAACATAGTATTGTTCCCATTTTTATATCCTACACCACAAGGTGGTCTGGGTATTATGTCTTTGTGCATTTGTTTGTAACAGGCAAAAGGAAACGAGATAGACCCATAGTTCCTTTTGATGATCTGCATAGAATCACATTTTGAGTCGATGCATGACCGTCCGTATTTTTGTAAACAAAGTACAGTTCGCATTTATTGCCCTATCCAGATGAAATTTTGCACAAATCATTTGTTTGGCCCAAAGACGAGCCCTATTGAAATTGGAGATAATCGGTCAATATTTAGATATAGCTCCCATATATATCTTCGTCCGATTTGCCTTTTATTGTGCACCAAACGTGTAATATCAGTCCGAATAGTATGGAATTTTGAACGTACGATCAGATTGGACTTGAAAATAAGTATGCCAAATTTGATCGCAATCGGTTCAGATATAGCTATAGCTCCCATATATATTGTTCATCCGATTTGTTATTTCTGTCCTCCGCAGCCGTAATATGCACTCTGTAACAACAATATTTGGGGAAATATATCAAATACAGCTCAGAAATACATTTGCTAAATTTTATCGAGATCGGTTCAGATTTGGATATAGTTCCCATATATAACTTCGTCCGATTTGCCTTTTATTGTGCACCAAACGTCTAATATTTGCCCAAATGGGATGAAATTTGGCACTTACGACCGAATTGGGTCTAGAAGCTAGTATGTCAAATTTGGCGAAGATATAGCTCCCATATATACTATTCATCCGATTTGTTATATTGTTACCCAAAGCAGTAATATTCACGCCGTAACAACGATATTCATTGAAATATTTCAAATACAGCTCAGAAATATCTTTGCCAATTTTTATCGAGATCGGTTCCGATTTGGATGTAGCACCCATATATATTTTTATCCGATTTCAAATTAATTGTGCACCAAGTGGGCAAAACAAGTCCGAATTTAAAAGATTCAAATGCTTCGGCATATTTAGTCTTTTGAACTTTTAATTATATTTATAATCATAGCGTGTATGATCGAATTCTCCCATAAAAACTTTTAATTGTTATGCGGAGCTCTACTAAATTAGCAAAGTGGTGTAGGGTATCATAAAGTCGGCCCGCCCGACTTTAAGACTGTCTTTACTGGTTTATATTGTATAGTGACCAACATTTAATAATTTAAAAGGTCTTATGCAGATTTCTTGATCAATTTTCCCGATTGGTGTAGCAATGGATTGTAGAGCCACCAATCGTTTTTTCTACTGTGCCTGCAACGAAATGTCATGTTTTGTGACAAATTCTGTATTTAGCAAAACAAAAAAAGACTTAAAAAATGTTTACAAAATTTGAACGGGCTCCTTTGGAAATATTCCTTAAGTTGATATTCAATTTTTTTGGCATTGGAAAATTTAAGACTTATATGAGTAGTTATTATTTGTCCTCTTGTGAATTTAGTATTTAAATGATCAAATGGGACAAATTGCCAACTTTCGGCATCAAGTAAGAACATAATACAGAAATTCTAGGAGATCACATATATGATTTGCAAATAAAAGGAATTGTTAGGTTGTGTGTCCGTCTCTTTGTTGAAATCAAGACAGAGGCCACATTATATTAATAAGTTTGACATAAGCCATATAACGGGAACTAAAGATTTTTCTTACTTTTGTCGTTTCCATCACCATAACTTTCGTTAGCATATATAAAATTAAATCCACTTGCTGCCCTATTCACAAAAAAAAAAAAAAAAAAAAAAAAAAAAAAAAAAAATCAGAAAAGAATGGTCTGTTTCGACGGACTATATGATACCCTACACCACCATCACGAAGAAATCCATATATATTTTGATCAGCATCCATTTGTATGTTTTATGACTCTCTTTCCGTCTGCAGTGCAGTGGATCGATAAAATTTTGCTCAAATGTACTTTAGGTTCGCAGAATTGTATGGAAAATGTACGGTAATTTTATATAGTCTCTATATAGTTTAAACAATTGGTACAAGCTCCAATGAAAAAAATAGCTTATACAAGTCCATGTCTTCGTACAACCTCCATGTAATGGCACCTCCCGATATTGGGATATTTGGATCGCAAGATCTTGCTATCCGATATAAACATATATCGCTAAAATACTAGACCTCAGTTCTTACATACAGGGTGAGATAAAAAAATACAACAAAGTCAAACATTCAAACATTTTTTTTTTAAATTTTATTGAATGAAAGCAAAAAATGTCGTAAATATCATCAAATTTTAGAATAAGTTTAGATTTGGTCAAAGTGGTCACCTTTGGCTAGAATTAACGGCCAATGAAGCTGTCACACGCTGCCCAAATGTTGCTCCGCGATATTTTTACCCATTCCCGGCGAAGCGCTTGCTTGATGTGAACGAAACTTTGGTAATTTTTAGTGCAAACCTTGCTTTCCAATAGTCCAGTGGATTGGTATCCGCAGATTATGCGCTGGGAATGAAGCGAGGAACCTCATTTTATAACCATTCATAGGTGGCACGTGCTGAGTGCGAGGGTGCTGAGTCTTGTTGGAATGTCCAAATTACCCTTCAGAATATTTTGGCGATAATATTCGGCATTTATTCTGATGCCACGGCCAATTAATATAAGCGGAGAGCGGCCGTCAACTGTTATTGCGGCCCACACAATCACCATGGCCGGCGCATGGGTTCTGGTGCACATTTTCAGCTGAATTCATTGGCAAGTAAACACTATGCTGGACAACGAATATTTTCTCATCGGAGAAACCCCAATTCGGCAGTTCACCACTTTCAGCCAAGCGAATCTACTCCTTTTTTTATTCACATTTAAATGCTAGAGTGCTCTAACGATAACCACTTGTTGCTTTCCAGAAAATATAAAGAAATCACACGCTTGAATTCCATTACGAATAACTTTTTTTCTGGAAAATTCTCACCAAATTCCTTTTTACGCTTGTAAACAACATAATGAGCTGTCACTCTTTATATATGGATTTGCCTTTATCGCCGAGCTATGGTGATCTAGCTATGTATGTCCGTCCGTCTGCCCATTTGTCATCATGAAACAGATCGCAATTATTGCTCGGTCATCACTAAATTTATCAGAATTGGAGCCTTTTGTTTTTGAAGATGGTCGGAAATTATTTAGGAATTGATGTAGGGTAAGTGTCCTTAAGTTCGGCATGTCCCAGTAGTCGGCACTTTTTATTTTTAAGCCCAAATAAATGAAACTATTGTAACTAAATGTATTTTGTTTACTTCAAATATATTGTCAGCTATCTTTGTGCACAATTTCGTCAAGAAAAAGATGAATTATTCTAATAAAAATTAAATTTTTGTCTGCGAAGGTCCTCGATAATTCATATTCTGAAGAAAAGTACAATAAAGACGTGGAATCAGTTTAACTAAACAAAAATATTATATTTCAATGAATTAATTTATTATTATTATTAATTATACTTACAAAAAAATTGTTATGCCGACTGTTGGATAATGCCATACCGACAATTGGCAAGTGGTGCCGACTACTGGCAAAAAAGCATTGTTTTAATAAAACAACATATTTATGAAATTTAATAAAAAGTTATTAAAACTTTATTTATTATTGCAAAAACTATACAAAATTTCGAATCTAAAAAAATAATTTTGTAATAATTGAAATGTTCCACTTAGAATAGTGAGCGATTAAAAACGCGAAAATCCTGAAAGTGCCGACTACTGGTACACTTACCCTATACCAAAAAATTAAAATTTTCCAGATTTTGCAGTCGCTTTACAGGTCACAGTTATGGAGAGTTCTAAGGACAGGGAAGAAATCTAGCATTTTGTATGACCATTAGATTATATGAATGGACTATATGTAGCTTGTAATATGGACCACAATTTTCGTGTAAAATTATTTAAATGCCTATCAGTACGACAGAGGGCGTAAATATGAGAAAAATTCGCCCGGCTAAAAATGACCATTAGATTATATGAATGGATTATATGTAGCTTGTAATATGGACCACAATTTTTGTGTAAAATTGTTTAAATGCCTATCAGTACGACAGAGGGCGTAAATATGGAGAAAATTCCCCCGGTCAAAAACCCCCGGTATTAGAAACGAAATCTACCAAAATGGATTTGGTGTTCCAACTTATTATGGTGTTGTAGGGTATCACATGGAAGGCACCCTTGCCTACTTGTTTATAATTCTGTCTGAAAATGAGGATATTAATTTTTTTTATTTCCAGGGTTTCTTTAAGGTATATTAACCCGCATAAATTCTTTACAAATATGTAACAAATAATAATAAAATAATAGAAACATAATTTATTGTAGTTTTGTGTCATTCAGTCTTAGATTTATAATAATTTAATCCTATCCACGAAAATATTAATTTTCTAAATGCATGAGAAAACCCGTCAATAAATAATGAAATATTTTACTTAAAATTCTGCCTCCACTTTTTTTGGAATTTACAATAAATATCAATAAAATTTGTGTAACGAACATATTTTGCTAAAGGCTATAAATAGGTAATAAAATAAAATACGAATATGTTGTTCTTTTTTATTTTCCAAAAATATCTTTCTCATATTATAATTTCGTGGAAATGGCTTTAATTTCTCCAAAAAAGAAAAACGAAAAAATGTATATAATACATTCTTTTAATATGTTCTTTGTTCAATTTATAAACTCGTGTTGTTATGGAGGGGGGCAAAGGGTGTTGGGTAGCTTCTAAGACCCTAATGAAC